TCTACTGTCCAGAGTGACAGGAATTAGGGGCTTTGCTCATAATAAGAGATCATCAGCCACCATCTCTGTTTGACCACCTACAGGGCAAGGCAAACTGACAGTCACCAACCATCTGCTCTTATCTCTGCAGTGACCCTTTGAAGCCCCCAGGGCACCTGCGTCATCCCCAGCTCAGGACGTTTTCTGTACCCACGTTCATTTTCTATCTAACTCTCCTGCATGTGGGGTCCCTGACTCTCTTGTATGCGGGTCTCCCTTGTGTACGTATCAAATCTGCTTATTTTCTCTTGCTAGTCTGTCTCCTGTCTGTTTGATTCTTAGATCAGCCAGAAGAACCTTGAGGGTAGAAGTTACAACAATTCCTCCCAACAGTTGATGCTGTGAGTAGAGTCAAGTCACAGGTTGGAAGCCGGCACTTCCCCTCGGGCTGCTGGAGATGAGGCCCTGGGGCATCTGACACTGGCCGGCCTAAGGTGGGGATTCTTACCATGTGAGGACACCCCCAGATTTCTGTCGGTAGGTTTCATTGGAAGCCAACGTAGTGAGGATTTCTTTCTCTGTTTTTTTTTAGAATTAATTTTATGTTTTTAAGATTTTATTGGGGAATTTGGGGAGGGGAACACACAAGCTGTTGTTCTTCAGTCTTAGTTAGGAGGGCGCAGCTGGAGAGGAATTTCGCCTAGGGATGAATCACAGCTGAAGTTCACCGATATCTGATGAGACTATATTTAGATGAGACTTTGGACCTTAGCGTTTAGCGTTGATGCTGTAATGAGCGAGACTTTGGGGGCTGTTGGGGTAGAGTTAATTTATTTTGCATGGGAGAAAGGCATGCATTTTCACACGTAGAATACTATGGATTCAATTAAGTTCCTCCCAAATTTGTATGTTGGAGTCCTAATGCTCAATGATGGTTTGTAAAATAGGGCTTTGAGGAGACACGTAAGGTTACAGGAGGTCAGAATGTGGTGGTCCAGCTCCAGTAGGATCAGAGCATCCTTGTACAAAGAGGAAGAGAGAGACCTCCCTCCATCACGTGAGGCATGTGAGGGCTCAGCAAGAACGTGGTCAACTGCAGCCAGGTCAGACCTTTCACCAGGACCAGACTCAGCCGGCACCTTGATTGTCAGCTTTCCAGCCTCCTCATCAGTGACAATCAATTACTGTTGTTTAAACCACGTTGCCTATGGCAGTTTTTCTGAGAACTGAGTGAGAAAGCTTGATATTTTTTATTATGTAAAAATATTTGATAATTTCATGGAAAAGAATACATATGTGAGTCATTGATAAATATGAAATACAATGGAAATAAAGGAATTAAAGATAACTAGCATTAGGAATTTTTGGAAAATAAAATGAAATATTGTAAGTCTGCATTTTTCATCTTATAAAAATATATTTTCTAACACATTCATAAATACATCTGTGTGTGCTTGTGCGTAGGTGTGACTGTGAGTTTGTATGTGTGTGACAGTAAGAGCCTTCTATAAAATAGAACCATCTATCAAGTGTCTCCTAGGAAGTCCAGGGACCTGGTCCTCGATGGTCACATAGGATGGAGAAAATCAAGTGAGACACCAGCTGCTACTCCCACGGACATGGCAGGCTTTCCTCTCTTTCTCTTCTCATGAGGACATTTAGTTGTACACAAGGTTGGGGACTGTGCCTGGGAACTTTTATCCCTGAAAACTGCCAAGGGAAGAAGGATATATATGTTCTCATTTCTTTGAGAAAACCAT